AACCGTCTCCCAACCCGAAAGCACATTTGTACTGCTTCAGATTGGCGTTCCCTGCATTTTATTTTATAAGAGCCTTCAGTTGCGCCTGCGTCCAGGTCCCGCTTTTTTGCTCTGAGTGTGGTTTTCATTGTTCGCTAATCATCGCAATTTTCCTTCAATCTAACACGCTTCTATAAACAACGTTGTATGATTTATTATTTTCCGCTAACACATACAAATTTTTGGCGTTTGAAACACGTGAGCAACCGACATATAGCTGACCATGTGAGAAGCATGGAGCGCCTAAATGTATCCCAGTACTTTTAGGGTTTGGCCTTGCGATTTGTTTATTGTCATAGAAAAAGCCAATTTTAAAGGAAACTGCGAGCCTTTTAAAAAGAAAAGGTAAGTTATTTGGATGATGGGTATACGTGGAATTAAAACGCTCTCTCCTGTTGCAGACTCCTGTAATTATAACAGCTTTTACTATGTTGGTGCCAAGCTCTGTTATACGCAGTCTTGTACCATTGCACAACCGAGGTGCATCAAGGTTTCTCATTAGTATGACAGGAACACCAACCTTGAGTACCAAATTATGAGATGGCACTACCTGCTAACTCTAAGGAGTTTAGAAACTCGATGGGGTATGTTGTGCTGTCATCATTAGCCATTGTGGTATCCATGGATTTGTATAATTTAGAGTTTCCTGTTATCGTGTCTATAATTTGTATGTTTATTTTATTCCATTCGGTGGATGCCACCTCTGCGTAACCATTGTGTGTATCGAGTGTACAGTGGTGTATGTACATACGTACATATGTATTTAGACTCTAAATTTTTGAGTGTGAGTATCAGTTTCAATATTACATGCACTACATACATATTGCAAACCTACTATTTAACTTCTCTGCGTTCAAATTTTCTCTTTTGTTTGTAGGTACTGTTAAATGCAAAACTCAATATTATATGCATTGCATACATATTTCAAATCTACTACTTAGTTTCTTTGCTCTCAAATTTTCTCTTTTCCTTTGATACACATATTGTAGGAAAATTTAAAGGTTTTTGGGCAATCACATTTTGACCGATAACTCAGTTATCGATAAATTTATCGAAATATATCGAAGTGAAATGAAACCTGGGGCCTTCCCCTTTCGTTTGATACCCATACTGTAGGAAAATTTGAAGGTTTTTGGGCAATCACATTTTGACCTATAACTCAGTTATCGATAAATTTATCGAAATATATCCAAATGAAACCTGATAACTCAGTTATCGATAAATTTATCGAAATATATCGAAGTCCAAATGAAACCTGGGGCCTTCACCTTTCGTTTGATACCCATATTGTAGGGAAATTTTAAGGTTTTTGGGCAGTCACATTTTGACCTATAACTCAGTTATCGATAAATTTATCGAAATATATCCAAATGAAACCTGGTGCCTTCCCCTTTCCTTTGAAACCCATATTGTAGGAAAATTTAAAGGTTTTTGGGCAATCACATTTTGACCGATAACTCAGTTATCGATAAATTTATCGAAATATATCGAAGTCCAAATGAAACCTGGGGCCTTCACCTTTCGTTTGATACCCATATTGTAGGAAAATTTTAAGGTTTTTGGGCAATCACATTTTGACCTATAACTCAGTTATCGATAAATTTATCGAAATATATCCAAATGAAACCTGGTGCCTTCCCCTTTCTTTTGAAACCCATATTGTAGGAAAATTTAAAGGTTTTTGGGCAATCACATTTTGACCGATAACTCAGTTATCGATAAATTTATCGAAAAATATCGATAGCCTATACTTCCTTCCAGACTATTAGCTGTCTGGATGTCAAATTTCAAGAAAATCCGTCTTGCCATTCTCACGTGATTGAGGAACAGAAGCGTGAACATCCAAACATCGCTACATTCACATTTATAATATTATTAAGATAATTATTAGCATATTAACATATTAATAGCATTGGGAAAATACTTCGGGGAATTTTGGTAGAGTACGCCGCAAGGCCATGGTATTAACATCGGCACAACAACCCTATCTTATTTACGCATACAATAAAATTTTAAAATCTTAACCTTCCTGTGCTCAGAGAAGAAAATTTTAATCTTTCCGCGGAAGTAAAATATGTGAGGGCAACTTTAGCTACGAAGCTCACGTCGAACTGAAGATAAATCGATCGATGCAGGTTGTTGTACAATGCCGTTAATTAAATGAGTGTGCGTATAGACATAACGGTCGCCAGGAGTACAATATCTGAAGTGGATTTTAATGCAGGTCAACTTTTTTACGGCCATATTAAATTTGAAATTTTTTGCCTGGGCAATTTTAGAGTAAGTGGAAAAAAGGGTTAAAGTAAGTAAAATTTCTCGTCATGTCAAGTTTCAGTGAAATTGGTGCAGGTTTACTATTATTTCCACCTGCCTCCATATAGTCGAAGCACTGTGTGACGTCAGGATTTTTTTCAAAGGACTTTGAAATTTTAAAGATATGATTATTTCAAAAAAATATTTAAAACAAGTAAGAAAGTCTAAGTTCGGGCGGAGCCGA